CATCTTAAAGCCGGCTGGCATTGGCTATATCCGACATAGGGGAAACTTCTAGCAACTTCATACAGAAGCCACCCCTGTAACCTCCCCACTACCAAAACCTTGCCACGCAGACCCATTACACAAGGTTGAAGAATAGGAAGAACAATGAGTGAGTGGAGCATGGTGTTAAAACATCAGCAGTGGTACCCCAAAAAAATAGCAAACAAGGGATAGCAAGATGCTACTGTGCCTCCCATTGAAATGTTCTGGAGGTCAATCAGAAGCACAGGAAGAAAAATAAAAATGCAAAATACTTGCATATGTGCTAAAACAAACATAAAGGAACTTTATATTCAAGTGTTTTGGATGCAGTACTCCATATGTGTAAATAAATCTAACATTCAGACCCTCTTGCTTATGTTGTCTTAAAGTACGTATGTGCGTGTGCGTCTCTATTAACCAGCAGAGCTGTGCATGTGTTTGAGGAAAAGAAAATCACTTGGTGACTACTTTTGATTTTTATACTTCTGTACATCAGCGTTACTGAACACGATACAGGCATGCTTTCCAACCCTCCTATGCTCAGCTCGAGTGCTCGCAGCCAGAAACACTGCTCCAGCTAACACGTATTGCTCTCTCCCTAGTACTACTTTTCCTGGAACAAAGTGCAAATCTGCAAAATGCAAGTTCACCAGGAAAGACAGCGCAGTCAAGGAGGCTGGTTGACTGTTTATATGTCACAAGGAGGGCCCTACCAGAGAGAAATCCTCTTCAGTTGCTGGTCTCCAGCTTGTTCCAGCCCTATGAAGGTATACAATTTGTTCTTCTTGGAAAAACTTGCTCATATAAACAGATCTCTCCCACATTATGAGGGAAATTTCAGTAAGAAAGGTATGTGTCAACATTGGTGTTCTGGTAGCTTCTATGTATTTGCTAACAATATGCCCCAAATAACATGCTTTCTATTTGGTTAAACTGCATTTGTAGACAGCAAAGATACCATACTTACCTATTTGATAATTGCATTATAATCTCGTATTTGTTGTTCTCAGTGCTGGTGTTTTGAGACCACATATGCAAACAGGTGAGGGAAGGATGCGTGAATTTCTCCCTTGGGCTGCGTCCTCCTCTGCACAGCTAGAATCAGGCAGCTGGGATGGACGATACCAGTTGGTGCTATTAACTATCAAGTACTTATTGTTAAATACAATGATGGCAATATAAGCTTAGATGCAAGAAAATCTCCAGCTGCACATTGTCAGTAACAAGGAGACAATGCCAGACTGTCGTGGTTTACGCCCACCCAGCCGGCAACGAAGCACCATGCAGCCGCTTACTCACTCCAAACCCCTCCTTGGTGGGATAAGGAGGAGAAAATATAACCAAAAGGCTTGAGGATCGAGCAAAGGACAGGGAGGGCTCACTCAGCAGTTACAATCATGGGCAAGAAACAGACTTGACTTGGGGAAAACAACATCAACTTAATTTAAACACCACCACAACCAAGGATAATGAGAAATACAAGCAGGTCTTAAAAACACCTTTCCCCCACCCCTCCCTTCTTTCCGGGCTCAGCTCTGCTCCCAGTTTCTCTCCCTCCTCCCCCCAGCAGCGCAGGGGGCAGGGAATGGGGGTTACAGTCCGTCTGTCACAAGGTGTCTCTGATGCTCCTTCCTCCTCAGGAAGAGGAGTCCTCGCAGTCCTCCCCTGCTCCAGTGCAGGTCCCTCCCAGGGCTGCCATCCTCCCAGCCATGGGCTGCTCCAGTGTGGGCTTCCTCGGAGTCATGACCTGCTTCGGGCCCAGTCCCCTACTCTGGCCTGGGGTCCTCCATGGGCTGCAAATGGGCATCTGCTTCACCACTGATCTCCATGGGCTGCAGGGGGTCAGCCTGCCATCTCACCACTGGCTGCAGGGGAACCTCTGCTCCAGTGCACTTCCCTGCCTCCTTCCTCACTGACCTGGGTGTTTGCAGGGCTGTTTCTCTCACACATCCCTCTTCTCTTGTGCTCACAAACAAAAAACCTTCCCAACAGGTTTTCCCCCTCTTAAATAGTTATTCACAGAGACACTGATTGGCCTGGCCTTGGCCAAAGGCGGGTCTGAATTGGAGCCAGGGGGCTTCTAGAAGCCTCTTACAAGAGCCACCTCTGCAGCCTCCTCCCTCTCTACCAAAACCCCACCAGACACAAATCCAACACATACAAAAAAAAAAATCACTCTGTTTTTGGCTTTCCTTACACTCTTTTTTTATATATTCACTATTGGTCCCTGCTGGAGGAAGCATATCAGGGTGGATACATCTTTGTTTTGGCCACTTGAGCCATTCTTTTATTTTCCCTCTTTCTGAAAACCAACAGGCTAAATTCTTAAGAGAAATAACAAAATTTGGCTTCGACAGTGCTGAGTTGATTCATCTCTCCAACTCCATTGCTCTCAGCATAAACTGATATTTCTGGAGGCAATTCAAGAGCCATTGCTACCCAGTTGGCTTTGGTGCGAAGAAGGGCATATTTGGAAGAGCTGACTTGAGCTGTACTATCACCACAAGAAGGAGTGCAAGGTCTGGTGTCTGACACAGGACAACCCCATGCATCAGTATGGCTGAGCAACAGACCTTACTGAAAAGATCCTGCTGGTTATGACGGATCCACCATCGAATACAAGCCAGCAGTGCAAAGGTGGCAAATCACATCATGTCAGGGCCTTGAGCAACACGATCGAACTTTGCAGCTGGATCTAACTTCAAACTTCGCTGGGGGTAGGACCAGATGACCTCTGGTGGTTCCTTCCAACCTGAATGACCGTGACTCTAATTGGAACAGGAGGCAACATCCGTGGGTTGAGCCTTGGGAAGTCTAGACTGCAGATGAGGAAACACTTCTTCACTCAATGGAGGTGCAGCCCTGGGACAGGTCACCAGCGATGTGGGGGATCTCCATCCTGTTTTTTTTTTTTTAAACCTCAACTAGACAAGGCACGGCTGCCCCGGCTTTGTGTTAGCACAGCCTGCTGTGTGTGGGAGCTGGAGCAGAGATCCTCAGAGGTCCCGGCCACCAGCAGTGCTGTTATACTGTGACACTCCCTCATGATAGCTTATTACATTAAATTGGGTGTTAATGGTGTAAGAGAGGGAAGGCATGCCCAACCTTATGGCTGCTTTCTGGCATGGTGATGGTGTGTAAATATAAAGGTGATGGGCAAGGTTTTCAATGCCCTGCCCAGCAGGTACTAACATCACTGATATCTGCAGACTGCAGGCAGGAAACAATGAATCCCGACTGAACAAGGAAGCCTAGAAACAGAAGTCTCCCAAGGTCTAAATCTGAACGTACTTTAGCGCAGTGAATTTGGTAATACTTAATAATTACATATTAGGCAGCAGTTGATTATGAAAATCCTTCCTTACTCTATGAGAGTGAGTCGCAATGCTCTGTAAGTCACCACGAAGGTGGGGAGGTTTTTACCCCCACTTCACGGATGTGGTTAAACCTGGTCATCATTGCAATGTGAGCAAGTAACAGAACCGGGAAGTGTTTTCAGCTCCTAACAGACTTGATTAAATTCAAACGCTCGCAGTTTTTCTTGGGCTATTCTATGCCAACACACTCTTGGTATATGAAATACATTTAATGAATAAAACATATACTTACTCGACTGCCATCTTCCAGAAACAGATGAGAAGTGTCTGCCTTGTGGGATGTTCTCCAAGCTTTACCAAGCAGCTGTACTACATGCAGCCATTTCAAGGATTTTCCATGATTGTAAAAGCACACTGGCTAACTCTGAATTAGACTGAACAGCCTCAATTATATAACTCATTACTACTTCCAAGCATGCTTAGTGAAAAGAAGAGGAGTTGTAAAGTAATGGATGATGGGAGATAAATTGGCACAAGTATGAATCAATGTTTAAACAAAGGAACTCCAGCTCCTTCTTGGAATAGCAACATTTTGATGTCGCAAATCCCCTGACATCGGTTTCATAAATGCAGTAATGTAAACCATGTGCTGGGTGGTGATTTTCTGAGGACCTTCCCACTTCCATTGTGTATTTTATTACAGGCCAAATGTGACATTAAATGCTATCCGCTGTGGCTTGGAGTTAAATACTTGCTCTGTTCAGAATAGCAACACTCAATTAAACAGCATTTTTCATGATCTACACCCTCTATTGTCACTGTGTTTAAGGGAAATAATGGGAGCACTGACCTATATTGCGTTTCTTATTATCGATGGAGATGAAGCGTATGCAGGGATTATCGGTGATGTACTGTGCAGCCCAGGGGACATCAATCCGTGTACCGGCTTCATAAAAAAGTCCCAGAGCGTAGCGGGAGGAGTAGCTTGCAGATTCCAGTTGCTGCTTTTGACTTTCATTAATTACTGTGAAAAAAAAAAAAAGAAAAATCAGACAATCCCTTTTCTCTCAGAACATTAAATATGTGAATGCTGTGGTTAAGCTGATTATTCCTTCCTGAAAATGACCAGACTGCTAAAAATAAGAATTTAATATTAAGCCTAGTGCTTTGTACTGTTTTTTCTGGGACACCTCTTCATGAAGTTTTAATGGCGCATTATGTAGGGTACGTCCTTCACAACCCTCCCCCATCTGTTGTGGTTTATCTCCCAGTTTCCCGCTAGTTATTACCTTGAAACTTCAATGACTGGTGACTTTTTTCTAAATCTTTTCTCAAAGGGTGAATAAATGGGAATAAGAGGTTTGGGTTGCCTTTAGCACATCAAGTAAATAATTGTATGACTGCAAAAACCCAAATGACTTCACATATCAACAAAATGAACACAGGGACTCTTGAATCTCTGGGGAAAACAGCCATGCATCTTCTGTGTTGCAATTCAAATGGATGAAGAAAGCCCTGCACTTCAGCACACAAAGGGTTCGTAGTGAAGCTCAGCTCCTACAGCTGAAGGTATTTAAAAGCAGTTCAGAGCAAATATGAATCTATTCCTCCCTATGATTTACTCTTCTACCTTCTAATTACAGTAAGATCTGCTTTTTGCCTCAATTTTATAATCTTCATTAAAAGCTGCACAAAGTAGCATTAGCCCCACTGTGCATTCAAATACTATTTTATTTCATGCCAAAGAGAAATACAACAGTTTGACAGGTTGTGGAGTTGAGTACCACATCCCTCTTCATACTACTGAATGGACGGCCAACGCTTCTGTGAGCTGGAGCACGACATGCAGACAAAATCACAGCAGTCTCCCACTTGTACGTGAAACTGCATGCTCTATTGGGCTTGTTTGGAGACTTGATATTGAAAGGCAAAATAACAACAATTGAGGTGCTTCATTTCATGCAAAATTCAGCCAACGTGATGAACATCTTGTATAAAGAAACAAGCAGCCGACGGTTGTATCCACCATGGCACTTCCCATAGGCAGCAGGCCCAGTGTTGAGTGGTACGTTTAGAAGGACTTCAGCAGAAGTCCTGCCCCAAGACAGATCAGCCCCACACGTGGGGCAGGCTGGGATGGGCTGGAGGGGGCAGCTCTCCACGCAAGGCTCCACAGGCAAGAGGCATCTGCATAGGCATGCACACCAAGCTGGCCAGGAGTCACAGCAATGAAGGCCAACAAGCCCGGTGTTAGAGCATCCAGCAGGTATTATAGGGGAAGGTATCATTCCCCTCGAGTGAGGCCACACCTGGACACGCTGTGCAGTGTGTCATTCCCCCCAGTACCAGGCAGATAACAAACTGGATAAAGTCCTGTGCAGGGTCACTAACATGGTCCACTAAAGGGAGTCTCCATCACCTGGACACGGCCCCAGACAACCTGCTGTAGCTGCAGTGTTGGACCTGCTGGGAGCAGCGTTGGGCTGGAGACCCCCATCCTGGCACCTCCAGTCAGAGTTGGTGGAACTGGGTCATTCTGCGTACTTTACCCACTCCATAGCCACCTCCATGCGACTGCAATTAATGTGCTTCAAGGAAGAACACTGTCGTGACTGACCTTGCTGGCATGACTAATGCTGCTCCTCAGAACTTGCAACCAGGACGGCTTCATCACACGCTCACTCCACCAGCACATGCTCTCTCCCCAGGAACTGGTATTTCCTGCTGTGCCAAGGCGAGACTCTAGGAACCAGGGTTATAAATCAAACCTCTGCGCATGGTGCCCTGACGCAGGCACTCCTGAGTCATGCAGTGCCAGCCAGGGGCAGAGGTGCAGCACCACTGGCAGTGTTTTCCAGCAGGATGCATGTCTGAGAGCACGTTCAGTCACGCTGAGAAGTCCTTGCAGCAACTGCCACTAAACCTGCAAAGCCTACACACCACTGGTCTCCATCAAGGTCCATTCCCATCACCGCTACTGGCATACATCAAGGCTGCCTGTGTTTGGAGTCTACTTACATGCAGAGAGCATGAGAGAGTGTCATTCCTGAGCCAGTCCTGGTGGACAGGAGGGCTGGTGTCACCCCAGCTCTTGCCAACCTGTGGGTGACCATTTCAGCTGTGCAAGTCTACAGGTGCCGAGTCCAAACTCCCTGTCATGACTAGTCCATTCTGGCAACGTTTCCTTATGGCCTCCCAAAATGTTCAGGGACACAATTCAGGACCCTATTCAGAGTCGTTTAAGAGACTCAACAAGTGAGCCATGAAGCCTTCTATCTCAGAAGGCTTAGTGAACCACCAAAGAAGATTCACCAAGGATATCGAGTCCACTCTTCACAGACTAGTGCCTTCTACAGGAGGATGCACAATCTGCAGTCACAATCTCTCATCTGAAAACCCACCAGGCTACTCATAGATATCTGCCCCATCCCATTATTTCTCTAGTTGCATATTTTTTCTGTGTTGTTTCTCCACTCTATTCCTTTGCTTGTCATGGAGAAGACTGATTTCAGAGGCTGCTTTCTGCCCCCTCCCCTGAAACAGCAACCTCATGTACAGAGTGCTCTCCTAACTGACGTTCCTGGCTGGTCTCCCCCATCCTACCACAACCTGCACACCCACACCAGCCTTACCTAATCACCATCACACCACAGGATCAGAAGTCAGATTCCATTTTAAATCCCATCAGAAATAAACCTTGAAACGGTCCCAAGAAAAATCCTCACAAATTTTAACACAAATATGCTGGGGAACAGAGAAATGTGGGGGGCAGAAAGAAACACTGATTGACCCATGAAAGCTGGGGAGAGGAAAGGAGGAGAAATAGGGCATCTGGCACTAGGGGTGGTGGAGCTGCCTGACAGAGGAAGCCAAATGACAGGCCTGCCCAGGAGGGTAGGACTGGCTGAGCACAACAGGGTTTGAAGAAGTTCCCTTTCCCTCT